AAAAAAAAAAAAAGTTATGTTGATTTTGCCACAATACCATAAAAGATCTGTCCTCCTGGTCCACTGGGTCGGGCTGTCAGATCTGAAGCGCGGGTGGGTTGCCCCGTGGCCTCCGCTGCTGGAGGGGGCTGGTAATTGTAGCAAGGAACAGCCGTCCCCGTGGAGGTGGTGGTAGGGAAAGGTGCTGCCACCGTTTTTCTTTCCCTACCGTTTATTTATAACACAGGAGAGAGTGGGAGCCAGGAAACCCTGCATGGGGACAGTGCCATCCCAGGTGGAGGTCGACCCCCATGTGTGTCTTGATGAGCAGCCCCCACCTCATCACATGAGGAGAAAGGAGAACTTCCTTTGGGGAAATGGACCCCAGTTTTGGAATCCTGGTCCTTAAGAGGCCTACGCCATGGCTTTGGGCTGGGTTCCTGGCCTGGCAGGTGGCAGCACCTTCCTTGTGGTGCAGGAGAAGGGCAAGCTGTGGTCGGCCGGCTGAAAAGTGCTGGCTGGAAGAGAGGCCGTGTTTACATTTTTAAAATCTGGGCCAAGAAAATCTGTCTGGGAATGGAGTTCCTGGGCCAAGTTGATTGGATCCTGATTTTATGGATGAAGACAGCGGCTTGGGCTGCGAAGTCAGGTCACTGTGGGTGATTTTAGCCAGAGTCTGTCTCTGGCCATGAGGTCATGGCTCTTAGAGCATTTCATTCTGATGTCCTCAGTTCATCCCAGGCCTGCACCCTGTTCCCTGCTCCTGGCAGAAAGCACTCCGTGAATCCAGCCTGGGAATGGTGTGGCGGAAACACACCAGGACGCGTGTGTGGGGGTTGCTCATGGCAGCCACCTGTGTTTGTGCGCCTGAAACAGGGAACACAGGAGTGACGTCCAGGCCCATGCAGTGACTGCAGGAGTGGGGAACCTGGGCTCATGGGAACCATTTGTTTTTTTCTGAAATGTGATTCTAGAAGTGAATAATTTCCAATTCGAGCTCTTCAGCTTGGCCCCATCCAAGACACACAGACGAACACTCAGCCCCTGAACAGGACACACACTCCACCCTGGGGAATTCAGCTGAAGACTTAGGTAGTGGTGGTGTCCAGGCCCCACAGAGTCCAGGCCCCAGCGCCCGCTGGAGCACCGTGGCTCCCCCCACCCACCCCCACCCGCATGGGGCACATCCTGGTGTGAGCTAGCAGGCTAAACGCAGATGATAGAGAAACTAAAATGAGAACAAGAAAGTGTCACATTTGGAGTGTGCCCGTCACCTAATCCGAACCAGAGACGAGAGAGGGCCACGCCTGCTGGGACCCTTCCCCTGAGGGAGTGGGTTTCAGTTCCGCAGTTTCCTGGCCAAGGGCCCCCAGAAGCCTTTGACAACAGCAAAACCAGCCTTTGCTGCCTCCTCCCTGAGGCCTGGAGCCTCCCTGAGGGTTCTGCAAAGAGGCTGCTCCGTCCCAGGCCACCCCGTGAATCATGGGCACAGGAGACAGGGAGGAGGTGGGCCGCAGCTCCTTCAGAAGTTCCCAAATGCCAAGGGGTCCTTCTGAATTTCCTCCCCCTTCCTATGGGGAGAAGGCCAGGCCTGTGCCTTCCTCAGTTCCTCCCTTCAAACAGGTTGGGCCCCACCATCTGGACGCAGGCCTAGGGCCTCCCAGCGAGTGAGGGCAGTGCCTGAGTCAACAGGATCAGGCACTGGAGTGAAAATTCCTTTTTTGGAAGCCAGGCAGTCACTGCCCAAGCTGGTGGAATCCTTGGGAAGTGACGCAAGCCTAGAGTCAGTGAGAGGCAGGAGTGAGCGCCCCTCGGCCAGGCCAGCCACACGCCTGGCTGCAGCCCTCCTCACCTCTCCTGCTGGCCCGAGGGGGCAGGGCTGTCAGGAGCTCCTTATATAGGAAATGTTTTGAAATCACAGCAGATGGGTGTCTGAATAGTCTTTGTAACCCTCGCTCTACCAGCAGCAGCAGCTCATTCTGGAAGGAAAGAAGGGACAATACTGGAAGTGCCTGTTTTTTTGTGATGTGAAAGAAGAGCCTGTGCTTCGAGGAACGCCACCTCCTTTCCTTTTGTCTGTCCTGCTGTGGGGCCTGGCCCAGCTTCTGCAAGAACTGGCTTAGACACAGTGAGAGCCCAGGACTCAGGCAGACGCTGGTCACGGGGCCTCTCAAAGGGGACTGCAAACTGTCTGTGAAGGGAGGACCGTCCAGGCCGGGAACGGCCGAGCAGCCGCTGTGAGCCCCGGGAACGGGGGAGGGGAGGGGAGAGTTTATCTTCCTCTAGGGTTCCAGGACACACTGTGGTGTCTTTCCATGGCCAGAGCTGATGGCTAGGGAAGGAAAAGGACTCCAAGGCATCATTTCTTAATCGGGAAAGATTTTTCTCCTAGCATCTGCTAGAGCCACTAGCTGCTGTGTCTGCAGCATGAGGTGTAAACCAGGGCATCCGATGAGGGGACAAGGTGTAGCCCAGAGCTTCCTGCTTCGGGGCCTGAGGTCCGCTCTTGCTTCCATATGAGGGGGTCCCCCCTCCCCAGCCAGGAGGATTTCTTGAGTCTAGGAGTTTGAGACAAGTCTGAGCAACATAGCAAGACCCCAACTCTACAAAAATTAAAACACTAGGCGTGGTGGCATGCACTTGTAATGTCAGCTACTCAGGAGGCTGAGGTGGGAGGATGGCTTCTGCCCAGGGAGGTCAAGGTGGCAGCGAGCCGAGATCACCCTGCTGTACTCCAGCCTGGGTGACAGAGCTAGACCCTGTCTCAAAAAAAAAAAAAAAAAAAAGGAGGCTAAAAAAGTAAAGTCCTTTCATTCTCACAAGCAGAAAGTAAAAAAGTCCTTGAAGACCTCCAAAATTTGAGTCCTTCAGTATGAGGGCCCCTCTGAGCCCACTAAAGATTCATATGTGAAAAAAACATACAATAACGTTTTGCAGCTTGTTATTTTTGTAGCACTAATAAAGACTTATGAGGGATTATATCTGTTAGAATATTCCTGGATGAGTTTTGCTTCTACGTAAATTTTTTTTTTGCTGTTCTGATAGGTTTGTTTTGTTTTTTTTTTTTTTTTTGCTCTTTTGAGAGATAAAGGAGATGCAAGAAGTATCATACACAAGGTCATTCTTGCGATGGGTTTATTGCAGGAGATGACGGACCAAATCGCTGACACATGCACACTGCTCCTGGGCACGCCTGCTGCGTGGTCCCTTCCCATGGCCCCCGGGGCCCTCCACGCCTCCCCCCAGGGTACCCTGCCCACTGCCCCTACTTCATGTACCACCAGACCCTTTCCTTTCCCGGGCACTGCTCCTGACGGGCGTGACCAGTGCCTACAAGTGCATGTGGCTCAGAACATAAAAACATCTTCAACACTCATCATTGAGCCAAATGAAACCCAGTGTTTGGCTCAAGAGCCCGCAACAGCCTGCATCCCTATCCACACGTGAACCGGCCCTTGACTTGTGACCTGAGGGATGGTCGCTCTTCCTTGTCATCCAGCACCCGCAGCATGTAGGTACCCATATAGACGAGAAACTGTCCCGTCACCTGGGCGGAGTAGGACAGGAACCGCAGCAGGCTCCTGTGACAGAGTGAGATCGGGAGGCTTTAGCTTGGGATCTGGGGCAAGTGAGAAACAGACAGGATGGGGATACTTCACTCCCCCACCAAAAGGCACTCGGAGGAGGCCAGGCTCACATTTAGAGCGTGGCTGTCTGAGCACTGTCAGCGCACACGTGTCCCAAGGCTGGCACAGATGCAGCTGCCACAGCAGTGGGTCTGGCCGGGAACAGGTCTCTGTGAGCTCCCTGGGGACCCCCTGCTGCTGGCCCAAGACCACCCCGAGAAGCACGGCTCCCACGAGCCAGCTGAAGCGTGGCCTGCTTGTTGAGTGGCCGGCAAGCTCTGTGCGGAGCAGATGGCCGCACCTGCACAGGTGTGCTGCGTCCTGGGCTTCGGCTGCTGGGCTGTTCTAGAGACCCTGATACTGAAACCCCTTCCCTTCCTAAGGTAGTAGCAGGACATTCAGTAGTGGCCGAGCCCATGGGGATGTGATAGCCGAGCCTGGGCAGCTGTCTCATCAGGAGGGTCCACTGCTCCCACCACCCACAACAGGGTCCCCGCAGGCGGTGCCTCCAGTGTGGGGCTGTTGTGAGTTCCGTGGCTGCTTGCAGTGTCATCAGATCCATCAGAGAATAAAATTAGTAACAAGAAGGCTGAACTTGTCTTTCAAGAAAGACTTTGTGGCCAGGTGTGGTGGCTCACGTCCATAATCCCAGCATTTTCAGAGGCTGAGGTGGGAGGACCGCTTGAGCCCAGGAGTTGGAAGCAGGAGTAAGCTATGATTGTGCCACTGCACTCCAGCCTGGGGGACAGTGTGAGACCCTGTTTCTTTAAAAAAAGAAAAAGGGCCTGGCACGTGGTTAACGCCTATAATTTCAGCACTTTTGGAGGCGAGGTGGGTGGATCACCTGAGGCCAGGAGTTTGAGACCAACCTGGCTAACACGGTGAAACTCCGTCTCTACTAAAAATACAAAAGTTAGCTGAGTGTGTGGTGCGTGCCTGTAATCTCAGCTACTCAGGAGGCTGAGCCACGGGAATCGCTTGAATTTGAAAGGAGGAGCTTGTCGTGAGCCAAGATCCGCCCCTGTACTCCAGCCTGGGCAACAGAGTGAGATTCAGTCTCAA